CTGTAATTGTAGAAATTGTACATTTCTTACCTTTTCACTTTTCGGTTTGTGATTTCACTAGCTGTTTCTTTTCTACCACTTTTGAGTAAGCATGTACAACTTCAGAGTGAAATTATTGAATTTATGCTAGCTCAGTTGTTATACTTAAATAGCATTTTTTTTTCCTAACATCACAAGAACTATTTTCAAAATATAAACTTTTGACAAAAATATTTTATTTCTAATCTTAGTGTATATTATTTTTTAAGGTATTTCTCAAAGTACAATATATAAAACTTATTGATAGATTGTCATAAAGAAAAACATAATATTAGTTAAAAGTATGATAAACACGTTTAGACATTTCCCATTAACTTTTAAAACACTTTTAAAATGAGTTAAATAAAAACAATCTAACACAACAAGATATGCAATTGTCATGGATGATTATGCACCATCTAATAGGGAGGTGCCACGTCATCACCTATGAGTTCTCTATAAAGTACATTCCTTTAGATTAGAGAGAGAAGAAGAGGACGACCGATTGCAGATTAATTTCTCCTTTGACCACGAGAATGCTTTTTCAGAAGATTTTTCGAGTCATTCTTGTACCATCTCCGTTGGTAGAATTCCATTAGAAGTTTTTAACAATATTTTTAATAATAATTTAGTATTAACCCAAGTTAAGAATTCAATTAGAATTTTGTAATTTTTTTGCCCTTCATTGGTTAGAATCTCTATGGGCCTCAGATCATAGGCCCATTAGAACCTCTTTTGCTCTGGAAAATGATGAAACAAGTAAAGACATAATTTACTTTGACAAGAGAATGTTAAACAAAGAAGGTTTTGAAGAGGTGATTCTAAAAGGCTGGGGTGATATGGTGGACGGAGAGCTCTCGGTTATGGACAGAATTACTAATTGTCGCCGTGAGATATCGAAATGGAAAAAGTATTCTGACTTGAATTCTCGGGATAAGATCATACGATTACAAGCCTCTCTAGAGCAAGAAATTGCTAAGCTATACCCGGATTTTCGTCTCATGCAGCAATTGAAGCGAGATCTGGCAG